GGAGGCCAGTTAATATTTTTTAGGTTTTTGAGAGTGCTAATCCCGGCAATTGCATTATTTTTGCTTGGGGGATGGCAATTTCAAGGGTCTCCACTTTGCTTTTCCTACTACAATGAATATTATGTCACAGGCTAGTGAACCAATGAGGGTTCTGCTAGTTCCTAAGTGCAGTCATTCAAATTATGTACACAGGGACTAGAGAAAAAAATTGCAAGGTCTGTCGATGAAGCCAAGGGATCCACGGTGAGACTGACTTAGGCTAGTTCTCTATTTCTCACCTGGCCTCCATAAGAATCTATTGTGATGATCATGGAGGTGATTTACATCTCTTTATATTAGTGTTAGCACAGACCCCGTGTTCAACCATCCTCAAATTGGCTGGTATTATCTTTTCACAAGTACACTGCTACTCTACTAAGAGGCTGCAGGCCCCTTTGGGGAAGGATTGGGTGTTATCTGTTGTACATACTTGTTGTGGCATGCAGAGTCTTTCAGTGAATGGGCTATGAGTTTGTGAACTAGCTTAGATATAAAGGAGGGGGGAGGGATTGCATTGGGAGTTATACCTGATGTAAATGACGAGTTGATGGGTGCTGACGAGTTGATGGGTGCAGCACACCAACATGGCACAAGTATACATATGTAACAAACTTGCACGTTATGCACATGTACCCTAGAACTTAAAGTATTAAAAAAAAAAACAAAAAACAAACTGGATGAATAATTTCAATTTTCCTTTGTGGTTGTGATGGTTAATTTTATGTGTCACCTTGACTGGGCAAAGGGATGCCCAGATAGCTGGTAAACATTATTTCTGGGTGTGTCTGTCGGGGGTGTTTCTGAAAGAGATAGCTTTTGAATCAGTAGAATGAGTAAAGAAGATCTGCCTTCACCAATGTAGGCAGGCATCATCCAATCAATTGAGGGCCCAAAGGGAACAAAAAGGCAGAGGAAGAGTGAATTGTCTCTCTCTTCTTGAGCTTGGACATCCTTCTTTGCTTGCCCTTGGACTTTGGAGCTACTGGTTCTTAAGCCTTCAGATTTTAGGATTTACACCAGTGGGTACCTGGTTCTCAGTCCTTTGGACTTGGACTATCAGCTTTCTTGGTTCTCCAGCTCATGATTGGCAGATGGTGGCTCTTCTTGGCTCCATTAATATATGCACGAGTCAATTTCCATAATAAAACTGTCCCTAGTCTCTTTCTCTCTATATAATCACGCACTGTATAAAGACATTTTGGTCAATGATATGGTCTGACTCTGTGTCCCCACCCAAATCTCACCTGGAATTGTAATCCCCAGGCGTCAAGGGAGGGTGCTGGTGGGGAATGATTGAATCGTGAGGTGGTTTCCCTCATGCTGTTCTCATGTTTAAAGTGAGGGAGTTCTCATAAGAGCTGATGGTTTTAAAAGTGTTTGGAAGTTTCCTCTTTGCACTTCTCTCTTTTCCTGCCACCTAGTGAAGAAGGTACTTGCTGCTTCTTCACCTTCTCTCATGATTGTAGGTTTCCTGAGGCCTCCCAGCCATGCAGAACTGTGAGTCAATTAAACTTCTTATCTTTATAAATGACCCAGTCTCGGGTATTTATTTATAGCACTGTGAACATGTACTAATACAGTCAATGATGGACCACATATATAAAGGTGGCCCCATAGGATTATAATACCATACTTTTACTGTACGTTTCTATGTTTAGATACAAAATACTTATCATTGTGTTATGATTGCCTATAATATTTAGTACAGTGATATGCTGTGCAGGTTTGTAGCCTAGAAACAATAGGCTATATATATATGAAATAAATATAGGCTATATATAATACATAATAATATATAATATATAATAAATATATATTATATATAATACATAAAACAATAGGCTATATATATATAATAAATATACACACACAGTTGATCCTTGAACAACACAGATTTGAACTGTGCAGGTTCACTTACATGCAAACATTTTTCAGTAAATGCATTGGAAATTTTTTTTGAGATATGTAACAATTTGAAAAGACTCACAGACAAACCACATAACCTACAAATATCAACAAAATTAAGAAGCTGACTGTGTCCTGAATCTATAAAATATATATACATCTTAGCCTATTTTATCATTTACTCTCACAAAATATATACAAACTGTTGTAAAAAGTTAAATTTATCTGAACTTACACACACAGACACATACAGACTATACATGGCACCATTTGCAGTGAAGAGAAATGTAAACAAATGTAAAGATACAGTATTAAATAACTGCATAAAATTAACTGTAGTACATACTGTACTACTGTAATAATTTGTATGTTCTACAATTAATTTTATAGCTACCTTCTGTTGCTATTGCTGGGAGCTCACATATTGTGAGTACTCTCTTCAAATGCTGTGACACTAATCCTCTCTGCCGTTCATCTCTCTAGTAAATCACATATTGCAGTAAAAAGTGATTTTCCAGGGTTCTCACATAGTTTTCATCATGTTTACTGCAGCTCCTTGAATGATACCATGGGATCCATACAAAATACCCCTAGTGATGTGGAAGCTGTCTCAAAAAGCAGAGAAAAGTCATGACATTACAAGAAAAAGCTGAATTGCTTGATATGTACCATAGATTGAGGTCTGCAGCTGCAATTGCCTGCCGTTTCAGACAGACCATCTTATCAATAGATGATGTATACTTACTGTATTGATAAATATAGTATAGTACTGTGAATGTATTTTTCTCTTCCTTATATTTTCTTAGTAACATTTTCTTTTCTCTAGCTTACTTCATTGTAAGAAGACAATATACAATGTTTGTATTTTATATATATATATATATTACAAAATATGTGTCAATTGATGGTTTATGTTACTGGTAAGGCTTCTGGTCAGCAGCAGGCCATTAGTAGTTAAGTTTTTGGAGAGTCAAAAGTTATCTGTGAATTTTTGACTGTGTGTGGGAGTGCTTGTGATATTTGGTGCATACTCTCTATGCCACAAATAAAAATGGTAGTTTGGAAAAGGACCAATCTTAGGTAATGATGAAAGAATGAAGCCACATTGCTGAATCTCCCCAATCCAACAAAGTAAATTAAAAGGAATTAAAAAGAAAAAAAAGGCCAAAATTTAAACCCTAAATCTAGATGAAAAATTTAACTTAGGAGCCAAAGGACTGGAAATAGAATCTGCTAAGAGAGAACTTCAAGGATAAAATATTTTTCTTGGTCTATGATGAAATTTATTCAGTTACTCTAGATAACTGTGGTCCCAAACAGTAATTTCTGAGGTTGGAGCACTTCCTGAAAGGATGCAGTATAGGCTTGGAACCAGCTACCTGTATATGGTACTCTATCTCCCATAACCAGAATCTATTGAATCTGGGAAACTGTCTAGCAAGGCTAATAGATCTGGATGGTAAAAACAAGTTGACACATTTTGGATTCAGATAGTCTATCACTTACACAGGCAACAAAAACAAAAAGAGCAAAGGTGTTAGCTCTCCATGTCCTTTGTTCCCCAGGATAGCACTGAAAGAAAAGGGGCTGAATGACATCTAATGCAACGTGAGTGATGGCCCACATTCGTGTTGTGGCTAGCAGTTTTATGGCCTGCAGCTGTACCTTAGTAGGGGTGAAACAGAAAGCCTCAGACCTCATCAGAACTTAGGAAATGATGAATGTCATGGTAGCCTCCAAAAGATGAGCAGGAGAGTGGGGAATGGCCTTCAAACAGCTCCTCTCATGCCTTCCTTGTGCAAATGTTCTGGAAAGACCACAAGTATTCTGTCAAGACTTAGATCAGGTCAGCTGCAGTTAAGCCCCGCCTCTGGGGTCTACGTGGAGACCTGTATGGGAGGCCAGAATATGCCACCCTAGAATGTGCCTCTTTGGCATAAGGATTATTTTGAGAAACAGGAGACATAGGAGAAGCTCTAAAAACACAGTAGAAGTTATTCCTTTGTTAGGGAACTTTACATTTACAAAGGAAATCTCCATTCATAAGGATGTCTCCCTCTCTGTCCCAGGAAGAGAAGGATGATTCTAAATCACAAGGGACTCTTATCAATGGAGAAGACACCTCAAATCTGCACAGCAAACTTTACTCTTGTTTACCATGTGCTTCCTGGTCATCCCCATAACTGGCTTTCCCATACTCTTCTTTCTTTGTCTTTAGCTGGAGATGGTATTTAAGTTTGAAGTCTCAGCCACCTCTTGGAGAGTTATTCATCTCTCTGAGTATCTCTCATATATACACACATATATATACACACATATAGATAACTATGGTCCCAAACAGTCATTTCTGAGGTTGGAGCACTTCCTGAAAGGATGTAGTATATGCTTGGAACTAGCTACCTGTATATGGTACTCTATCTCCCATAACCAGAGTTGGATGTATATACATATGTATGTGTATATATATAGAGAGAGATATGTGTATATACATATATATCTATATATGCTAATAAACTTCTGTTTTTCTCTTGTTAATCTGTCTTTTGTTACAGGGGCCCCAGAGGATCTGGGTAGGGGAAACTTAGAAGGGTAGCAGAAAAATTATTTTTTCCTCCTTTACACATGCAAATACACCAGGGTGCCCTGGCAGAATCATTTTCCAACATAACCAAGAACTGTCAGAGGTTTTAGTGCTCAAATGAGGAATGCTTCCATCCCCTAAACCAATTACGATTCCATGAATTGAAAGTTGGAGATGCTATGGAGCCACCACAGGCTTCCTGATGCCACTGGGTAAAAGATGAAAATGATGCTATCTAATATTCAGTATGGTAATCAGTGACAAAATTATACATAAATAACAGTAGCTTTCTGTAATAGGCAATAATCAGTAATAAAATTCAATGGGAAAAGATTACTTTCACAGTAACAATAAAAAGTATGAAACTGAATAATTGGGAAGATATAATATGATCCTTTATAGAAAGACTTTATGTTATCAATTATAAGTTTCATTCCAAATTATTCAATAAGAGAACTTGATAAGAAAAGTTCATTATTAAATTTTTTTTTATTAATGATCCATTTATTTACAATTAAAAAAACTTTTAGGTTCAAGGATACATGTGAAAGTTTGTTATATAGGGAAACTCTTGTCAAAGGGGTTTGTTGTACGGGATTACTTCATCACCAATAGGTATTTTTTCCACTCCTCTCCCTCTTCTCATCTTCCACCCTCAAGTAGACCCTAGTGTCTGTTGTTCCCTTCATTGCGTTCATGAGTTCTCATCATTTAGCTCCCGCTTATAAGTGAGAATACGTGGTATTTTATTTTCTGTTCCTGCATTAGTTTGCTAAGGAAAATAACTTCCAGCTCTATCCATGTTCCTGTGACATGATCTCATTCTTTCTTATGGCTGCATACTATTCCATGGTGTATACATACCATATTTTCTTTATCCAGTCTGATATTGATGGGCACTTAGGTTGATTCCATATCTTTGCTCTTGTGAATAGTGCTGCAATGAACATTTACATGCATGTGTTTTTATGGTAGGGTGATTTATATTCCTTTGGGTATGTACCCAGTAATGGGATTGCTGGGTGGAATGGCAGTTCTGCTTTTAGTACTTTGAGGAATTGCCACACTGCTTTCCATAATGGTTGAACTAATTTACACTCCCACCAACAGTGTCTAAATGTTCCCTTTTCTCCACAACCTTACTAGCCGTTACTGACTTTTTAGCAAGAACCATTTTGACTGGTGTGAGATGGTGTCTCATTGTAGTTTTAATTTGCATTTCTCTAATGATCAGTGATATTGAGCTTTTAAAATATGCTTGTTGGCCGCATGTATGTCTTCTTTTGGAAAGTGTCTTTTCGTCTGGGCATGGTGGCTCATGCCTATAATCCAGCACTTTGGGAGGCTGAGGCGGGTGGATCACCTCAGTTCAGGAGTTCGAGACCAGCCTGACCAATGTGGAGAAACCCCGTTTCTACTAAAATACAAAATTAATCGGGTTTGCATGCCTGTAATCCCAGCCACTCGGGAGGCTGAGGCAGGAGAATCGCTTGAACCTGGGAGGCAGAGGTTGTGGTGAGCCAAGATCATACCACTGCACTCTGGCCTGGGCAACAAGAGTGAAACTCCATCTTAAAAAAAAAGTGTCTTTTCATGTCCTTTGTCCATTTTTTAACGGGGTTGTTTCTTTTTCTCTTGTAAGTTTGTTTAAGTTCCCTATAGAAGCTGGATATTAGACCTTTGTCAGATGCATAGTTTACAAATATTTTCTCCCATTTTGTAGGTTGTCTGTTTACTCTGTTGATTGTTTCTTTTGCTGTGCAGAATCTCTTAAGTTTAATTAGATCTCATTTGTCAAATTTTGCTTTTGTTGCGGTTGCTTTTGTCTTTGTCATGAAATCTTTGCCTGTTCCTATGTCCAAGATGGTATTGCCTAGGTTGTCTTCCAGGGTTTTCATAGTTTTCGATTTTACATTTAAGTCTTTAATTGATCTTGAGTTGATTTTTGTATATGGCGTAAGGAAGGGGTCTAGCTTCAATCTTCTACATATGGTTAACCAGTTATCCCAGCACCATTTATAGAATAGGCAGTCTTTTTCCCATTGCTTGTTTTTGTCAACTTTGTCAAAGATCAGATGGTCATAGGCATGTGGTCTTATTCTGTGTTCTTCGTTCTGTTCCATTGGTCTATGTGCCTTTTTTCTTGGTACCAGTACCATGCTCTTTTGGTTACTGAAGCCCTGTACTATAGTTTGAAGTTGGGTAACGTGATGCCTTCAGCTTTGTTCTTTTTGCTTAGGATTGCCTTGGCTATTTGGGCTCTTTTTTCGTTCTGTATGAATTTTAAAATAGTTTTTTTCTAGTTCTGTGAAGAATGTCATTGGTGGTTTGATAGGAATAACACTGAACCTGTAAACTGCTTTGGGCAGTATGGTCATTTTAATGATATTGATTCTTTCTACCCATGAACGTGGGATGTTTTCCCATTTGTTTGTGTCGTCTCTGATTTCTTTGAGCAGTGTTTTGTAATTCTTATTGTAGAGATCTTTCACTTCCCTGGTTAGCTGTATTCCTAGGTATTTTATTCTTTTTGTGGCAATTGTGAATGGGATTGCCTTCCTGATTTGGCTCTTGGCTTGGCTATTGTTGGTGTATAGGAATGCTAGTAATTTTTGTATACTGATTTTGTATTCTGAAACTTCTCTGAAGTTGTTTATCAGTGGAAGAAGCTTTTGGGCTGAGACTACGGGGTTTTCTAGATATGGAATCAATGTTTTCTGCAAACAGGAATAGTTTGACTTCCTCTTTGCCTATTTAGATGCCCTTTACTTTCTTCTGCTTCTTGACTGCTCTGACTAGGACTTCCAATCCTTTGTTGAATAGGAGTGGTGAGAGAGGGAATCCTTGTCTTGTGCTTGTTTTCAAGGGGAATGCTTCTATCTTTTGCACATTTAGTATAACGTTGGCTGTGGATTTGTTGTAAATGGCTCTTATTATTTTGGGATATGTTCCTTCAATACCTAGCTTATTGAGAATTTTTAACATGAAGGAGTGTTGAATTTTATTGAAAGCTGATAAAGACAGTTTTAAAATGTTAATGAAAAATTTTGGAGAATTGTGATGTGGAGTTTCCACAGGAGCAGTCAGAGATTAGTGGGACCACGTGCACACTGTGTACCTAGCTGCCAGAGTTTTAAAATGTTAATGAAAATTTTTGGAGAATTGTGATGTGGAGTTTCCACAGGAGCAGTCAGAGATTAGTGGGACCATGTGCACACTGTGTACCTAGCTGCCAGAGGATCTGAAGGGAAGAAATAAGAATGGGCTAAATGAACATTATAATGTTCTTGCTTGTTTCCTGAATTGCAAAAATGTTTCTGAAATTCTTCTCAAAGTTGTCCTCTACTTGAATTCCCAGTGTAATGAATTTATCTTCCTGAAAAAGCAAAGAAAAAAACATTAATAGCAACAATTATTCATTGAGCCGAGACACCCAGTGTTGCAGATAATCCAGGGCCTTGTTTTAGGTTATCCCAAATGTTAAGTGAGAATTAATCTAGTTAAGAATTGCTTATGTTCCTTGACAATTTAATTATTTATCTTTATCTGGAAGGCAGAGAAGTCGAAATAGTACTACACTGAAATCTAATTCCTGATCAAAAGCTTATGGTTTAATTTAAGTTTTAAAAATTCTACTTGTGTGATTTTTATGCACAGCATTTTTTTAGCAACCTTATGATAGTACAGAAATGTTTAAGGCCATTTAATAATGTCTTCCTTTTCCCTTCACTCTCACCCCTTGACATAATCCTTGTTAATTTCTGAAATGGTGCCAGGAAATTCAGATGTAAAGAAATCCAATATTTTGACATTTGAGACCTTTGATTTGCTATATTCCTCTAGAGAAGAGAAACACTTTAAATGCCTTTAAAGTGCACTTCTATTTCTAGTAGAAACAAATGAGTCTGCAGCCTACTGTTCTCTATGGGTGAAAACAAACCATCTAGAAATGAGTCAACTCTGAGGTTATAGGACCATGTTTGCAATGGTATCTTCCAGTTCGTTGTTATTTTCCCCACATGCACCACAGGGTTTTTAGGATACTTCCACGATTTGTACTTGTATGGGCTTGTCATATGATAAGGGTGATTGTAACATTTACCTGATATGAAAAGATGAGAGGGAAAGTGACTTTAAAGTGATGTAACTGAAAAAGAAAAGGAAGCAGGGAGAGCCACTCACCCTGTAAAATTCCTTGTGGTTACGAAAGATGAGACGCATGTCCTGCACAAACCCTTCTACTCGGGAGTATGCCTGCTCATTCAGGTTTCTCTTGACTTTGTTTAACCACATGGGCTTCTGTGGGCCCTGAGACCCCTCTTTGTTCTGTTGAGAAAAAGACCAAAGTGAGGCTATCAGCCCGGTGCCATAGAGTCCCACTATTATGGAATAAAGGTTTGTGGGGTCCCCCAATCCATAGGTCAAAATCCTAACCCCCCTGTGAAGGTACTAGGAGGTGGGGCTTTTGGGAGGTCATGAGGTAAGAAGGGTGGAGCCCTCACAAATAGGATTAGGGATCTTATAAAAGAGACTCCGGAGAGTTCTCTCCTCTTTCTGCCACTTAAGAACACAGGGAGCAACCCTGTGTTGTCTCTGCAACCTAGAAGATAGCCCCTCTCCAGGACCTGACCCTGCTGACACCTTGATCTTGGACATGCAGCTTCCAGGACCGTGAGAAAAACATTTCTGCTGTTTAAGCCACCGAATCTATGATAAATTTTTATAGTAGCTTAAACTAAAAACTCATCAACAAGGCAAATAGAATGGCACCTTGTACCATGGGATTCAGATCACAGATTTGACAAATGCCAGTATAAGCATTTTTTTTTTTTTGGCCATTACTTACATAATATGGTTCTGAGGCAAAAAAGGGGCTTTTTGGATCACAGTAGACCTTCAAGAGGAGGAATTCACATTTCTGCAAAAGACGGAGGACATTTCAAGTTAAATGCAGTTTAGAGAGAAAGAGGTCATATGCATGCCCAAAGAGAACACACAACTCCCAAACCTGTGGACTCTTTGAAGCAAACATGGCATGGGGAGTTTCTTTGGACCAGGAATTTTCTTTGGAATATGAATTGTAGTGTTAGGTCATGGAGAAAAGCACACCATGGGCCAGCAGTTTGCTTTTGGGCTCCATTCCTTGAGCTTTTTGTAAGACTGTGCTTCTCCTGCCCAGGTGAACCGAAAGGAGGAGGCTTCAGGTTCACATTTTTACTCACCAACTGCTCCTTGGGCAGCATCTGCCTCATCAGGACTTCAGATTCCTGATGCCATAGTTGACTTTCTGGGCATCTTTCCTGAATAGTCTTTATCCTGCAGAAGATGCAACTCCATGGGTTCCTGAGAGATGGGGCATAAAGTGAACAATGGCAGGTTCTGTGAATCAGCCACCATTCTTACAGTTGTTCAAGTCCTGTGCTCAAGAATGCCTGGTGGTTTCCACCTTGTATCTAACTTCTCTCTTGGAGGCCTCTGCACTAGAGCCCCATTAGGACTCAATAGCCAAAGGCATGCCCTTCTACCAATAGCAATAGCAGGGGTGATCATCTATTGGGTGAAGTGCCCTGTGAGTGACAGAGTCTCATTCACCTCAAAACTTAGGGTTCCCATCTGAGCCACTGGGAACTTGATAATGAGCACTGTTTGCCACGGTTTTTGGAAATGAGTACCTTAAGCACAAAGTGTTGGGCCTCTGTGAGTCAATCAGATCATAGAAAAATCAGAAAACAAACTCTTGTTTCTCAACTTTGCTGAGTAAGCACAGAACACAGGCTATAGGCATCCTCTCCCTCGGCCCTGCCATATCTTATACCTAGAATCTGTGCTGCAGAAACTTCTTGAAAAGGAAATCTCTGGACACGGTGTCAGACATCTTCCATTTGCTCCTACATTCATTCTCCAACCTTCTCTACTAGGCTGTCTGTGCTAGGAGGCTGTTGATAATCAGGCAAGCACAATGAACCATCCTAGTGATGCCAGCATCTCCTTGGCCATGTAGTGCTTGCTCAAGGAGCCTGTTACAAAGTGCTCCTCTGAGAGCACTTTGCAACTCTGGTGCAGGGATGGGGGCTATACATGGGCTCAACCGAAAAGCTGATTCTTCTTCTGCCTCTGCAGATTGCCCAACTGGTCAAAAGCAGAGGTTTATGCTGATCCCCTGAGATGACACTCTGGGAGCAGGTGGGTCACATTAGCTTTCTCCATTATGGAAGGGCAATGCTGTGCCCTCATAGAGTCAGACACATTCCTGGTAGAGATCATCCTCTTAGCCTTAACAATTCTGTCCACACACCACTCACAGAGCACCTTATCAGTCTCCATGGTATCCTGCATACCATCGCCTCTGTCCAAAGGCACATGTTTTAGCAAAGGAAGTGAGCCAGGGACTCACACTTGCAGAATTCACAGGTCTCGACATGTGACCTGTGACCCAGAGTCAGTTGGCTTGATAGACGGTTGCAGCACTGGCTTTACCAGCTGTGTGGTGGTCCCACAGCAGGTGGCATATGCTTTAAACCAGCAGGCAGTGTATGATGGCATCACCCCATCAGAGAGCATGGGTCTCGGAGCCAAGTAGGGGAGACAGAGGTTGACACCTCTTTCTATTGCACTCAATAACCACTTGAAGAGTTTTTGCTTCCCATTAATCTGCTGCTGCCAGCACTGTTCAACAGCTCTGGATAATACTTGTGGATCCTGATACTGAGGAGCCTGCCCCTTATGCATCAAGAAACACATAACCAGGTACAGAAACTGCAGAGTACTTACGAGTGGCAGGAGGAGCTGTACCACAAGAAGGAAGGGTTCAGGGAAGGGGACACATCTTACTCACTTGTTAACTTCCACGGGCGGGATGTGGCAGTGTTCATGAAAGGATCTTGGACAAGTGTCGCAGCAGAACAGCTGTCCCCATTTGTTGCACACTCCACATATGTTTGAGTTTTCCGGCTAGAAGGGGAGATGAGGTAGACATCACTGGGATCAGTGGGACCCTAGAATTTGTGACCTTTTTATGTATCAAGGGCATACTTGTAAATTTCTCTCCACAAAATATTAAGGATCGCTGAGTGGAGATCTCAGAAGACATTTTGGCCTGCAGCAAAGTTCAGTAGATAGTGGCTATGTGTCAGGCCAGAAAAGTTTTCTTTATGAAAGCAGAGATTCTGACATGATGACTAGTGACAAACATAGGATGCATTAGAGATGATTTGAGCAATTTATTAAACAGCTGGCAAAACCTGGCCCAGAAATAGAGTCTTTTCTAGCTTGTCTACATTGTATCCTTTAAACTGACTTGTCAAAGGGTGATTTACTGAGAATGTAATACAATGGAATAAACTTCCGAGATATCACTTCAACCCACACTCTTGCCATAGCAAGAATGAGTTGAAGAAAGGGCTTGGGGAGGAGTTCCTGGATGTCAGTTCTCTGCCTGGAGGGCTCTGGGCCTGCAGCAGTACCTCTGGGATGGAAAAACCATGGGCAAGATGATCAGGTGGGCACCAGGGAGTACAGGGCTTTTTGCTTTTTGCTCTGGGAACCTGGAGGAAGAGCCCCCATGACTTAGTCAACTTCACATGTAAGGTGTTGTAATTTCTCTTCATCTACAAAGTCACTATACAAAGAAGAGACTAAAGTCACATATATGAAAAAAAATTCTAGGCTGCAAGATGTATCTTGCCCACGTATTCTCCTTCAATGGCAGAACTGGAGTGGCCTATTAGGAGCCACTTCTTGGGCACATCTCCACGCGGGGGCGGGGGGGTACCTGAGCTTCTCCTGGAGTGGGGCCTTGTAACTGTTTTTCCTTTTTGTTGTAATAGATGAGAGTTATCGATGCTGACCACTATTTTTAGGCTGCTGGGTCAAGGTTTCTGATCCATCATCCTATCAAGTACACTGCAAGTGCGCCCCAAGAAAGAATAAATACCACAGGCAAATCCTATGTTTGAAGTTCCGTTGTCTAGGAAGCCTGCAAACTTGGTGTATGTCTCTTTAATCTTTTTAGTAAGAATTTTTTTCTTTTGTTTAGAAGTGGTTCTTAACTTGCTCTACAGTAGAATCCCCTGGGAGGATTAAAAAACATCTCTGGAGCCCCATTGCCAGAGATTTTGATTCAGTTAGTCTGGGTTGGGGTATAAGCATCAGTACGTCTTAAATGTTGTCCAGATGGTTCTAATGTGCAGTCAATAGTTGAGAACTCTGGCCTCTAATGCAGTGGTCTCTGGACCAGCAGCAGCAGTGCCTGGAACTTGTTAGAAATGTACAACCTGGGGCGCTGCCTCTCACTCACTGAATCAGAAGCCTGGGGGTAGGTCCCAGCCAGCTGTGGTCTACCAAGTCCTTCAGGTGGTTCTGATGGAGCCTACGCAATTGTGGCAATTGTGACTGAACTGCATTGCACTACAGTGACTCACAACTTTGCTTGTGCTAGAAAAACACAAAACACTAGAGGAGCTTTGGAAACACCAATTCTCAGGCAGCATCTCAGACCAATAAGATCGGAATCTTTGTAGGTGGTGGGGGCGGGATCCCCAGGTGATTGCAATGTGCAGCCAAGGTTGAATACCCACATTACAAAGTGGTTTCTCCTCAGTAAGGGCTGGGAGGTCATAACTAGAGTCATTAATAGCCTACAAGCTTGCCTAGGAAAGTTTTTGAAAAGGGATGAGGACTTCCTTGCTGGAAGAGTTGCCTTTTCCTTTTCACAGAGGGCTTGGTTGTGGGCTGTAAGAAATGGCCTTATGGGTCTCCCTTAGTCATCAAACAAGTTATGCAGACCCCAGAGATGAGAGCTGTTTGACTACTGAAGGTTCCCATCCCCAGCAGAGAAGTGGAAACAGTGTGGATCGATCTAGATCTTGCTAGGGAAGTGCACTGGCTAAGAAAACAGAGGGCATGGCAACCTCTTTTCTATCCCCTCTCAATTAGCGTCTTGTACCAGTCTAGCTGCATGGCATTTTTGTTTTGAGACAGGGTCTCACTCTGTCACCTAGGTTGGAGTGCAGTGGTGCGATCACAGCTCACAGCAGCCTCAACCTCCTGGACTCAAGTGATCCTCCCACCTCAGCCCCTGGAGTAGCGGGGACTACAGGTGTGTGCCACCATGCCTGGCTAATTTTTGGTATTTTTTTGTGGAGGTGGGGTTTTGCCATGTTGCCCAGGCTGGTCTCAAACTCCTGGGTTCAAGTGATCCTTTTGCCTCAGCCTCCCAAAGTGCTAGGATTACAGGCATGAGTCACTGTGCCCAGCTTACATGGCATTCTTATAGTGAAACGTGCTCCTTGCAGTTTTGCAGAAGGCTGACCCTGCCTAAAATGCTCATCTCATTGCAATGAAAGGAATCAAAATGTGACTTTGTTTAGACAGGGAAGTCACCCATGATTTTGTTACTGAAATACCAGGGGTTCAGTCTAGGTCCTGCTGCTTGCCACACAGAAAGCCAATCACTGAGACAATGAGTATTGCCAAGGAAGGCTTTAATTGGGTACTGCAGCCAAGGAGATAAGAGATCAGTCTGATATCTGTCTCCCTGACTCACTAAAGTTAGGGGTTTATATAGCAGAAATGTATCTACATGCAGGGAAGCAGGAATTAGGGAGTGGTAAGGAGGAGGAGTCGGTTAACAGGAAGCAGATGGTTAGGCAGTCATAAGGGGTGAGGAGTCTGGCATCTCATTGTCCAAATACAGTGATCTGGTGAGTTTCAGTCCCTTGATATTACGTGGGAAGTCTGATGGTTGGTTTCCTGAGAAAGAACTCAGAGAAGACAAATGCAACTCTCTCAAGTTTCAAGACTGAGAGGGTCAATTTCTATGTTTATTCAAAATAAACTGTAAACATCAGATTTACGGGACAATTGGGTTCGTTTCAGTGCCCCTTTTCTGTTTATCAATTCCTCAATCATGGGGAACCTGGTCGTCAATCTTTCTGGTTGTTTTATGCTAATGAGGAGTGTTGTGGGTAGCTCCATACCATGGGTGACCCACATAGCCACCCGAAAATCAAAAGTTCACTGAATACTATAGGTTTCTTCTGAAATATACTCTTTTTCTTTCCAGTCTCCCGCTTTCACTAAAGACAAATCACAGCAGGACCAACCTACCTGCCAAATAAGCTTCAGTCCTACATACTTGGCTTATTTACCCACACAAAGTGCAGCAAGAACCATTGTCCATATAGGCTATCTTAAACTGGCTTTGCTGGAACCTCTCACAAGGCCATTTCAGTCAAAGCCCTGGGAAAATGACCAGTTCTTCCAACTGTGTTTTATTATAAAAGAAAACATATTCTTTTTTTTTTTTTTTTGAGATAGAGTCTTGCTCTGTCACCCAGGCTGGAGTGCAGTGGCGTAATCTCGGCTCACTGCAAACTCTACCTCCCAGGTTCAAGTGATCCTCCTGCCTCAGCCTCCCGAGTAGCTGGGACTACAGGCATGCACCACCATTCCTGGCTAATTTTTGTATTTTTAGTAGAGACGGGGTTTCACCATGTTGGCAGGCTGGTCTCAAACCCCTGACCTCAAGTGATCTACCTGCCTTGGCCTCCCAAAGTGCTAGGATTACAAGCGTGAGCCAATGCGCCCAGCAGAAAACAGATTCTTATTAAACATATGCAAACACATTGCCATGAATTAATAATATTCACAATTAGCTTATGAATTCTGGAGAAATTAGGCACGGAGAGAAATATGCCTCAAATTTAGTTTTCAAGAGTAATGCTCTTCTCAATTGTTAAAGGCAGCAATGTTTCAAACAAAAAAAATCCATAAGAAATTATTTCTGGCCTCCATTTGTTCAGTGTATGCAACTAACTCCTGCTCTGCTTCATATTAGGTTAGTAAACTTTATGAACATATCAGTTTTTCAATTAGTTTCTTGGACATTTTCTCTCTCTAATCTAATAGAACAACCTCCAAAGTCATCAGAAACCTTCATTAAAGAGTCCTTTTCATGAACTTCCCCAAAGAAGCAAACCATGGACTGTAGCTGATTATAAGTTACTTTTTGAGAAGAATCAGTGTAAAATAATAATTGTAGATGTCAAAAGTCTTAAGCAAGCCATAGTTAAAGACACAGTTGACGAGGAAATTCGATTATTTCTGTGACATATAACAATTCAACATAATAAGCATAATTATTACTGATGACATATATTAAAACATGAAATAATTTTAGGAATCTCATACAATCCTGGAACATATATTAGCAACACATCTATATAAACATAACCCCAAAGAAGTTAAACACCACCTCAGATGTGACAATGCTTTCTGCATAATCCTAATGTAACAAATAAGCCAATAAGCCTAATATATCTCTCTTGAACTTCAGGGAAACTAAGATGCAAAAAAGTTAGTTTGAGGTCAAAAAGACTGAATTTAGAACTTGGAATTTTTACTCTTGGAAAGTCTGTCAAATATCGAAGTTTTAAGACATTTGATACTACAAAATAGGATCCACAGGTCACTGTAAAGTAGTCATTGATTTAGCCAAGAAGATGAAACAAAACCTTTACCCTTTTATAGAGTAGACTCAGTTTCCCAAACAATGAAACCTAATAAAGACAGCATGAGGCCAACTAAATGTCTCTCTTTCCTCCTGTTTTCACCCTTTAGTTATTCAAAAGGTAAATAAAAATCTTTCATTATCTCTCACATGAAAATGTTCAAAAGTGAAAACCAAATTTCACCTTTGCATGGTGTATTATTAATATTAAAAGTCATTTTTAAAACCTTATAAACAATTTTAATTTTAATCAGTTTGATCCTAACATAAGATCTCCAGAAACATTTTACAATTTTCTATTAAAGATCAGATTAATGCTCCAAGAAAATGCTATTATTCAGACACATGGTCCTAGACATTGGCCCCGTATCAGTGTGCTTTTGATATTAGCATTTAATTTATAGAAAAACCCCGAATCTCACATGTCCACGTCTTCCATGAC